TCTCCTAACTCATGATTTCTTAGGTCAGGAATTCAGAAAGGGTTTTGCTGGACAATTCTCTGTTCCATGTGGTAGAGACTGAAGTCACGTGCTAGCATTTGGCTAGCAGCAGGGCTAGTCTGCAGAGTCTAAGATGGCTTCACTCATGCCTCTGGCACCTTGGAAGATTAAGCTCAGATCTGGTGCCCAGAATGGAGTACCCACAAAAGCACTGCTTAGGCTAGTTGGATGTCTTCCATGGTAGTTCAGAGTTCCCAGAGTGAGCACCCCAATAGGCTGAGTGGAAGTTGCAAAGCATTTTCTTGTATCGCATCCTCTTGCTCAACCAGTGCGGCGGCGCCACCGCCGGGTTCATGAGAGGGTGGGGGTGGAGGGGCGGAGCCAGAGGGCCCGCCCTCCCGGGCCGCCTTCCCTCCCTTGGGGCTGTGGCGGGTCTCCGCCCCGCCCCGTGCTTTGCTCAGTGCTGCCGCCGTGCGGTCGGCCCAGGGGGCGGCGCCGCGGCTCCGGCATCTGTTTGCCCCAGGCCCGGTTCGGGTGGGGAAGAACGGGAGACGCCCTCGGGCACTCCTTCCGCGCTTCTCGGACGCTCTCACGGATCGGTCTCAGCCCGATCCGGGCTCGGCGGTAACAACTGCGATGGTGAGCACAGGGCGGTGGGCCGAGTGCTTTTCGGCGTCCTCTCCTGCGATGCGCGGAAGGCCCGTCCCCCGCTCTCTCCGGGCTCCTTGCCCCGCTTTTGCTGCCCGAGGCGCCATGGACAGGCTTGTGGAGGAGCTGAGCGCCAGCAGTTGGTCCACGGCCTTCCAGCCTCCAGGGCACGCGCGACCTCCCCTAGCACTGCTTCACCGGGCGGGGACACCCCGTCGTGAGCCTCACGGACGGCTGCTCGCCTTCTCCGGAAACCCCTCTTCTCGCTTCCAGTACGCCACACTCTCCTCCTTTCTTCCTGTCTGCTGGCTGCTCCCGGCTCTTCTTCGATTAGAACTTTCGCTGGCTCTTTTTTCTCCTTTCCTTCCCCTTTCTCTCATTCTCTTTCTCCCCTCCCTCCTTCTCTTCCTTCCTTCTTCCTCCCTTCCCTTTTCTTTCTTTCTTTCTTTTGGATCTCTTGCCCTGGCTGGAGTGCAGAGGCGCAAGTGTAGCTCACTGCAGCTTTGAACTCCTGGGCTCAAAGCGACCCTCTTGCCCCAGCCTCCCAGGTAGCTGGGCCTACAGGTGTGTTCCACCACGCCTGCCCTTCTTCCTTCCTCCTTCTTCTCCCTTTTCTATCTCTTCCAATTCCATGACTTCATTATCAACGACATGCTGATTCCCAGTATTGTGTCTCCAGCCTGCCATTCTTCCTGGTACTCCAGACAATTATCTCTATTTGTCTTCCTGATATTTCCACATGGTTATTTCCAACAGGCCTGTCAGACTCATCTTCTCCAAAACAGCTTTTCATCTGCTTCCCCAATACCATGTACACCTGTTTTCCTCCTGTCTTCATCATCTCAGCAAATGGCACCCCCATTTGGGCTCAAGTTAAAAACCCACACCACATCCTTGATTTCTTCACCCACCACAGCCCGTTCACCACAGAAACCTGTTGTCTCTGCCTCCAAAATGTACTTTGAATCTATTCACGTCCTTCCATCCCACTCCCCACCCTTGAACTAGCAGCCTGTCATTTCTCCCTTGGGTTATAGCAGTAGTCTGGCCATCTTCATTGGACACCTAGCTTCTACTCTGCCCCCCTACAATCTATTTTCCAAAAAGCAGTGGGATCTTTTTAAACATATAAACCAGATTTTGCAGCTTCCCTAGCTAAAAACCCTCAATGCCTCCTTAGATCATTCCTTTTAGAATGGAACCCACAGTCCTTACCGTGGCCTGAGGCCAACTATCCTCTTGCTTCTTTCTACTGTGACCTCCAGCTTACCACTCTCCCTTGCTCTCTAAATTTCTGCCACACTGGCCTTCTTGATGGTCCTTAAGACCCAAAGCCCTTGCTTGTGCCAGGGTCTTTGCATTTCTTCTTTCCTCTGCATGCAATGCCTTCCTGCTTCTTCCCCTCCTCCTTATGTGGCTGTTTTTTTTTCATCTTTCAGGTCTCAGCTGAAATATCCTCGGTTGAAAGGCTCTCCCCCACCACACACACACACCATATCTAAAAATGGGCTCCCCCAGTTACTATTTTATTAGCTTGTTTATTTTCGTTACAGAACTTACATTCATTTGTTATGTCCATATATTTGCTTGCCTATAGACGCTCTCTTCCAGTCTCATGAGGAAAGGGATCATGCCTTTTATGTTATGGCTTTGTGTTTAGAGCAGTGGCTGATATATGGGAAACTCAACAGGGTTGTTTTTTTTTTTTTTTTTTGAGTTGGAGTCTCACTCTGTTGCCCAGACTGAAGTTCA